ACCAGGTGGTCTGGTTAGTGCATCAGCCAGGTGGTCTGGTTTGTGCATAAACCAGGTGGTCTGGTTAGTGCATCAACCAGGTGGTCTGGTTAGTGCATCAGCCAGGTGGTCTGGTTAGTGCATCAGCCAGGTGGTCTGGTTAGTGCATCAATCAGGTGGTCTGGTTAGTGCATCAGCCAGGTGGTCTGGTTAGTGCATCAGCCAGGTGGTCTGGTTAGTGCATCAGCCAGGTGGTCTGGTTAGTGCATCAGCCAGGTGGTTTGCTCAGGTAAGTACACAAAGGTAAATATCTAACTAGAAATCGTTACTAACCTGCATTTCCATATATTTGTAATGAAGACTATAACATCTTGATGTTACGTCGAGTAAAAGTTTGCAAATATTTTGACGTTGTTGGCATGCTGCACCTGACATTAGTGAGCCAACAGTCATTATAGTTGTATCCAAGATTCATTCATTATGAGGGCACCATTGGCACAACTCCCGGGTACCGTACCCTTCTATACACACCATCTATATTGGTCACGACGGCATCAACTCAACGTTGTTTATTTTAGCCAGATTTAGGTATAAACATCTTGGTACATAACTTGAAATTCATAAGTTTGGTTAGGTTATATTTAAAAAATCTACTGTTCTTCTTTGTGTTGCATTCTCATAATTATTCACCCGTGTTGCAACTTTATTTTTCCTCGTCATCATCGGGTTCCATTCATAAGATGCTCATAGGATTAGATGGAGTGAATAGGTGCAAGATATTCAGACGTGAGGAGAGGGCGGGAGCCAGGGAACACACAGTCTGTATATTACCTGTAGTCAAGTTCTGGGATCATCGCCCTTGCAGTCCAGTCACACACCTGCTCTTGCTAGAGAAAGAGCAAAAAGGCACAATACTGTGACAGGAACAATACACAGATAACCCTAACATAGGAGAGAGTAGCATATGACGACATTTAGGTCCGATTTGGACTATTTACAAGCCACACTAACACGAAAGTGGGGGACCCCGTATATATAGGCGAGGGGGACAGAAGGGAAAAGAAGGAAGTGGAGTAGTAGTGGTAGCGATAATGTTGGTAGTGGGAATAGTAGTGGTAGTAGAAAGTAGGTAGATGCCGAATAAATATGTAGGTTAGTCATAGGTTACCTGGAGGTTACCTGGAGGTTATTCCGGGGATCAACGCCCCCGCGGCCCGGTCCATGACCAGGCCTCCCGATGGATCAGGGCCTGATCAACCAGGCTGCTACTGCTGGCCGCACGCAGCCCAACGTACGAGCCACAGCCCGGCTGATCCAGCACTGACTTTAGGTATCTGTCCAGCTCTCTCTTGAAGGCAGCCAGGGGTTTATTGGCAATTCCCCTAATGCTTGATGGGAGGCTGTTGAACAGTTTTGGGCCCCGGACACTTATGGTGTTTTCTCTTAGTGTACCAATGGCGCCCCTACTTTTTATTGGGGCATTTTGCATCGCCTGCCCAGTCTTTTACTTTCGTAGGGAGTGATTTCTGTGTGCAGATTTGGGACCATTCCTTCCAAGATTTTCCAAGTGTAGATTATGATATATCTCTCCCTCCTGCGTTCCAACGAGTACAAGTCAAGTGCTTCCAAGCGTTCCCAGTAGTTAAGGTGCTTGACAGAACTTATACGTGCAGTAAAGGATCTCTGTACACTCTCTAGATCTGCGATTTCACCTGCTTTGAATGGAGATGTTAATGTACAGCAGTATTCCAGCCTAGAGAGAACAAGTGATTTGAAAAGGATCATCATGGGCTTGGCAGCTCTCGTTTTGAAAGTTCTCATTATCCATCCTATCATTTTCTTTGCACGTGCGATCGTGGCACTGTTGTGATCCTTGAAAGTGAGATCCTCAGACATTACTACTCCCAGGTCCCTTACATTATTTTTCCGCTCTATTGTATGGCCGGAGTCAGTAGTATACTCTGTTCTAGTTATTATCTCCTCCAGTTTTCCATAACGGAGTAGTTGGAATTTGTCCTCATTGAACATCATATTGTTTACCGTTGCCCACTGGAAAACTTTGTTTATATGTTCTTGGAGGTTAACCGCGTCCTCAGCAGATGACAGCCTCATGCAGATCCTAGTATCATCCGCAAAGGATGATACGGTGCTGTGGTGTATATCTCTGTTTATGTCTGATATGAGGATAAGGAATAAGATGGGGGCGAGTACTGTGCCTTGTGGAACAGAGCTCTTCACTATGGCAGCCTCCGATTTTACTCTGTTGACCACTACTCTTTGTGTTCGATTTGTTAGGAAGTTGAAGATCCATCTCCCCACTTTCCCAGTTATTCCTTTAGCACGTATTTTATGGGCTATTACGCCATGATCGCATTTGTCAAATGCTTTTGCAAAGTCTGTGTATATTACATCTGCATTCTGATTTTCTTCCAGTGCATCCAAGGCCATGTCATAGTGATCCAGTAGTTGTGAGAGGCAGGAGCAAACAAACTAGGTGAAGAGTTGGTGGAGGCCAACTCAATATATAGGTTTAAGAGTATTGGGGGGGTTAGGGGAAGGGGGGACTTAGGACTCGACCCGTGGAAACATCTCAGAGTGAGTACACTAGGTTTCAAAGCATCTTGCTCCTCTAACTCTATTGGAGTTATGTGTCAGCTTATATCCTCTGTAAATTAATTGCAGTAGTCCATGACCTTTTAAATTAACCACTTCCAAATACTGAAGAGAAAACTAAAAGAAGATAAATGTTAAGGTTTTGAGTGGATGTGTTGTGTTCAGCTCCTTGTAGTCTTATTATTGTAGCTACTGACTTATGCTTGTGATCTCTGTTTGTTATCCTCCCTCCCTTCCTTCCTTCATTCGTTTAAGTGTAACTTCCTTCTTTTCTTCCTTCCTCCCTTCCTTTTTCTGTTTTTTTTCTTACAATGAGAGAGGCAGGAATAATAGGGTAAGTACTGCAATGGATCAGGGAATACCTGAGAGGAAGGAAACAATGTGTGCTGGTGCATGAGAGGTGTCAGAGTGGGTACATGTGTCCAATGGGGTGCCCTAAGGGTCAGTCCAGAGTTCGGTTGTTTCTAGTATGTGTGAATGACATGCCAGAAGGGGTAAAGTCAGAGGTGTCCCTGTTTGCAGACGATGTGAAGCTAATGAGAAGAATACAAGTGGACGAGGATCAGGTAAGCCTAAAGGACATTTGGACAGGCTGCAAGCCTGGTCTGACAAATGGCTCCTGGAGTTTAACCCCAGCAGGTGCAAAGTCATGAAGTTTTGGGAAGAACAAATAAGACTGAGGAAAAGGATCTTGGGGTGAGCATCATACCGAACACATCTTCTGAGGTGCACATTAACCAAATAACTGCTGCAGCATATGGGCACCTGGCAAACCTAAGAACAGTGTTTTGACATCTAAGTAAGGAGTCATTCAAGAAACTGTACACTGTGTAAGTCAGGCCTATATTGGCCTGACTTACTGCAGTATGGAACCCAGGTATGGGTTCCTTACTGCAGTACCAGTATGGAACCCACACCTGGCCCCATCTCTGCGAATATGCTATACTTTTGTCAAGATTGATGGACTGAACACTTCGACTCAAGGCTAAGTGACTGACTACTCCTCTTATTTCACCTTTTTCTGCATTGGACTGAAGAAGTCACTGTGTGGTGAAACGTTACCAGAATAGAGATACCCAAATGTTGCCAAAGTGTCTCATTTATCAGACTGTTATTGCTGGCTGCACAAGGTCCATTGTACAAGCCAAAGTCTGGCTGATCAGGAACTGATTTGAAGAATGTAACAAGCTCCCTCTTGAAGACAACCAGAGGCTTGTTGGTAATTATCTAAATGCAAGAAGGGAAGGTGTTGAAAAGTCAGCGACTGAATTTTGTATTGTCTACCAAGTGTCATACTTTCATTTGGAGTGATTTTGGTGTGTAGATTTGGAGTTCGAAGCCTCTCACAAAGTCAGGAACACCTCTAACGGTCTCTCCAGGATTTTTCAGGCATAAATTATGATGCATCTCTCTTGCTTACTTTCCAAGGAGTCCAATTCAAGGGACTTAAAGCATTCCCATTAAATAGTTCAGATATTTAATTGAATGTATAAGGACAGTGAAAATTGACTCACAAAATCGTAATGACACGATTGCAAACAAACCATACCCACCCGTGGTATGGTTTGTCACTGAAAATTCTCTGCATGTTTCTAGCTCAGAAATCTTGCCTGCATTTAAGGGGCTTTTCAAGGCAAGATTGCTAAGCAAGAAAATGTAAAGAGAACTTTCACTGTACAAAATATTCTACTCTGAAGACTGGAAGGTTGTATGTGTACAGTGGTACTTTGGGATATGAACTTAATTCATTCCAGAAGGCTGTTCGAGTGCTGATACCGAACGAATTTGTTCCCATAAGGAATAATGTAAATTAGATTAATCTGTATCAGACCCCCCTAAAATACACTTACAAAAGCCCCTACATAAATACATTTGCATAATTGTTCGCGTTTTGAGCTGTTCGTATCCTGAGGTACCACTGTATTTCATGAATCACTAAACGCATGTGGCTCATTAAATATGAGAAGTGGTGGAGGATCAATCATCCATCAGTTAAGCATAAGGCAGACACACTACCTAACTTGTAGTCATGTAGTTGCAAATGGATGAATAGAAGGCTGCACCATCTTTTCGGGAAGAAGAGATGAATCTATAGGCACATTGGAAGAGGAGAGGGGTCACCTTACAGACTTACATGTTCATATTCAAGGGAAAGTCAAGGAAAAAGTTTGTTATAAGACTCGTTCCTGCAGTTCTCTGAATAGATATACTGGAATATGGGGAATGGATTTTCAGGGGCTAATGTTACCCCTCTCAGTTGCAGAAATCATGTAAACACATTTAATTTTCATTGTTTAGCTTGTATATTTTTGTTTAGTTTAATTATAATAGGCAGGTAAATTATTGTCACTCTTCAAGCAGTTAATACATTTGGCTTAAATACTAAATCATTACTTTATTATTTCCAGTTCCAAAGCGAATGGATGGTCTTCGGGCTGTAGATGTGATGACCATCTTGCACGAGAAGGTGGCCTTTCTGTCTGGGGGACGAGATCAGCGGCCAGGTCCTATTCTTACCTTCCCTGCCAGCACTCGCAGAGATCGTCTCAAGCATGATGATTACCATCCCTTGTTGCAGTACCTCATGCAGATTCCTAGGTAAGTGGTGCTCATTAAAGATTTGCTGACCTTTCTTTATTGTTTAGTATGTAAGTCTCCTGAAATGAACTCCAGGTTAATTTTCTTTGTAAATTTCTTAAAATAAGAAACAAATTACATTAGGTACTGAACAGTATTACAGTACTTTCTGTAGATGTGTCACTAAGTATACTTTTAATAATGTAGCTAAATATTAATTAATTTTAACATTTGTATTAGCATATATGAATGCAACTGAAATTAATATTGTATTTTTAAAATAGTATAAATTTCTTATATCCCATATTCCTACATTACATATATGTACTGTTTCAAAGCATTCAGCACAGCTATTTTAAGTCCTGCACATGCATACGTATCTTGTCTAGTATGCAGTTAGTTCCATAGCTTCTGAATGTTACAGGGCAGCAATAAATATAGTTTTGGCTTCTCAGGAAAACCAGCCACTCAGGAAGGGAAATTTTTTGCTTTAAAAAATTTCTTATAAAAGCTAGGCTTTTATAAGATTTTTTTTTTTTTTTTTTTTTTTTTTTTGCATTAACACTATCTTAGCATTCCTAACCAACAAATGGTCATTCAGTACTTATTGTAGTTTGAATTACAGTAGACCGTCATTTAACAGTTTTGTCAGGCACGTTTTGGTTATAGCACGACTGAAGGATTGTGGCATATTTTTGTATAACACTTCATAAAATTAACTTAACATGATTCACAGGAGGGGGAAAAATTTGAGCGCATCACCTGTGGGATACGTACCATCCTCTGCTGGGAGTTTATATCTTTTTCTTGCCATATCTTAAATTTGCTAAGCAATCATGGCACCCAGTAGGCATACAAGTGTTGCTGAAAGTGGCAAGAAAAGGTTTAAGGGTTTAAGTCTTAGAATTAACGAAGAAAATAGAGATACTGTATTAGACAAGAGATAGCCTGTGGCCTTAATGAAGCATCTCTCTGTGTACATAAAAATAATGAAGTAAATATGAGTTTGTGTGATGAATGACTGACTGATTTACTGACTGACTGACTTGACTGATTTACTGCCTTACTTGACTAACTGACTGACTGTATTACTGCCTGACTTACTAACTTGACTGATTTATTGACTGACTTACTGACTGATTTACTGACTTACTTCACTAACTGACTGACTTACTGACTGATTTACTGACTGATTTACTGACTTACTTCACTAACTAACTGACTGACTGACTGTATTACTGACTTGACTGACTGACTTACTGACTTGACTGATTTACTGACTGACTTAAAGTTAGACTTTTCACTCAAGAGGACCCTGAAACGGTGTCTAGAGCAGCTGATGCCTTACCATCAGTCCTATAATGTACTGCGGGGTAAAATAGAACAGAAATCCATTACAGAATTTATGCACACTCCAGTACAACCATCGACTTCAGTAGTAGTACCTCTGCCATCCACCTCAGCCCAGTAGGGCCACAGCATAACTCTCCACTCTCCACAATCATCCACAAGCACCAGCACCTACAATTTAAGGTAAGACATACTATTATTTCTGTTGCATTTGTAATCTTAAGCAGTAAAAACAACATAATACATCACGACAATGAACTTCAGTGACATATTCACTTTTATTTTTGTAAGATCTGGAGGTCCAAAAAAAAAGTTGTTTGGCTTTTTTGGGGCTCCCAGGAATGTAACCCTATTTTTCCCATAAGTTCTTCAGTTTGTCTAACATGATTTTAACTAAAATGGTATTTTCAGGAATGTAACTACCATGTTAAATGACGGTCTACTGTATATGTTAAGTAGCATTTAATTTGAGCAGGTCTTTCAAGGCAGTGGAAGAAAATTACTGTACTGTTTGTTTTAAAACAAAAACAATGACTAGGTGCAGATCTACCCTTAATACAGAATACCCAATCACAAGGACTTACCATACAGAGAGGCCTGTGAGCCAGCTAGCTAGGTATGAAGCTCCCTTAGCTTGTTATTCATGCAGACACTGGATAAACTAAGAGTTGATCAGCTGGGTAGAGTAGGAAATGTATGACAAGGTTTGGCAGATATGTTCTCCTGTGTTCGGTGGTATATCATGCAGACGGGGCAGTGTCATTGTAGTATGCCTCAAATTGTATTTATTCTTACAATCCTCCTTAGAGAGGATGACTACCATTATACAGGTACTACTCAACATACAATGGTTCAACTTACAGTATTACTACTTTATAATGGCACATAAGCAATTACTTTGGAGATGAAACTTCAGATAATTACTCAGCATGAAGGTGGCAAATTTGTAACTTATATACATTTATTTATTTTTCAATGCTGGTACTGTATTTAGTTACTTACAGTAATTATTTATTTATTTACTTATTCAGTGACAATAGTTACTCATTTATTTGTCATATCATATTCATATTGGACTTATGATACTTTAAACTTCCAATGGGTTTATCAGAACGTAACCCCATCGAAAGTTGAGGAACACCTGTGGTCAGATTTATCTTTTAACAAAATAATGTTAATTTGACAGTGATATTCTCATATTTTGCACTAAATGTTTGCATTGGCCTTTTGCAGAATGGTTTTATAAACTAAATATGTTGCTTACCTCTATATGCAGTGATGAAGTTCGGGAAGCAGGCTTCACAGTAATAATAGATATGCGAGGGTCAACGTGGAACACCGTTAAACCCATCTTGAAGGAGCTGGCTGAAAGTTTCACCCCACACATTTATACTGTATTCATAGTGAAACCAGACAATTTTTGGCAAAAGCAACGAACCAGTATAGGTAGCCATAAGTACAAGTTTGAGGTAAGTATACTGCTAGGATAAAAATTTATATCACAAATAGTAAACAGTATTTAATTAAACAAAATTATGTAATTCATCTACATAATGAATTGGCATTTTGTTTTTGGGCACTGCTGATTATCAGTCTATATTTTATACATTTAATTGTAGTCAAAGGTAAATTTGATGTACTTTCTAAATGGCAAACCTAAGAATATTAAGCCATGTGCTTTATTTTCCAGACTAATTTAATAAGTGTAGAGACTCTAGCCAAGACCATAGATCCTAGCCAGTTAACGACAGACTTCGATGGAACTCTCGCATATGATCACAATACTTGGATTGAATTACGGTTAGCAGTGGAGGATTTTACTTGGCAGGCCAATGAACTTCTAGATCAATTAGAAGATGTCAGGGATGAGCTTCAGCAAAGTGATTTTGCTGATGATGTCAATGGTGCTAAACGTGCTATTGAACGTCACAAAGAAATGCACCAAAAAGTTACTGGTAGCCTGGTTCATGACCTGGATATGATGGGCCAGCGATTATTACAAAGGTTAGTTTGGTTATATGTTAAATTCGTTATTCTGTTTTTGTGAAGTTCTCTTTTCTCTGAACTCCATATTGATTTAAATACTGTACTGTATGGTGACCATGTGGAGCTTCATAAAACACACCGCTAATAAATTCTGTACATATTTACAAAAGTCACATGTATTTCAGTAGGTAATCACAGCTGAGAGTCTTGCAGCAGAGAATGTCAAGCTGCAGCATACTGTCTTTTCCATCTTAACTGTTCTTATCTTTTTCTCTGTTGTCTGTCAGTTCTCTAGCATTATCTCTGACAGTATATTGCTCTTACCGACTTTGATAAGCAGTAATGTACATTCTTGTTGTTTTACTGACTAAAGTAGCTCACTCCTGCCTATGTTCACTCCTAATTTTTGGTGCATTCAGTAAAATCCTGTTAAGTTGTAAAGACTTTTGACTGTAAACCTCGATCACTTTAGCATGAAGTGGAGTGTATCCCACAATCTCTATCATGTGGTCAGTTGGGAGCTGCATGATAGGTATACAGTTTAATAAAAAATGCTATACAAAGGGGAGAGCATAAGTACAGTGGACCCTCAGCTTAACCCTTAAACTGCCACACACATTGATCAATGGGTGTGTATATACTGCCACACATAGATCAATGTTTAAATTCTAGTGCCCTCAAAATGGTTGCAATCAGGAATATTGGGCCTACATGAGATAAAGTAGGCCTGCATCATGTCCCCTCCAACAAAAAATTCATCAGGCATGCAGGGCATTGTGGGAACAGTTTGCCTTGAGTTACCTTACTAACATATCTTGTGCTAGACATCCCCCTCACTCCATGGACCATTGGCCATTTGCTATTCACCTAGACTGATTCTGGCACTGAAGATAGTGAATATTGAATGCAGATACTATACTTTCCAAGAACACTACAAACATTATAAGCAGTTGGGGGAATTGCTTTTGGATTTCATTTTATCCAGTTTAAAATTAAGGAAAAATCTATCGAACTTTGCAGGCTTTTTGGATTTGAAAGTCTGGATTTGAAAGCTTGACTTAGGAAATGCAGTATTTTGAGCTATTCTTTCCAAAATAATTTTTACCCAATAATGAATACTATGTACTATGGATTTAATGCATTCTGGAAGGCTGATTTTTTTGTATACTATTCAGAGAAATGCTTTTGGGCTTTGTTGAAGTTGTACATGAAATTTATATAATAATACACTAATGTTTTCTTCCAGATTAAACTGTGATGAGGGAAGTGGTTATGACTCTGGGTATTCTGGTCGTGATAGTGCATCAAGTCTCATACTAAATAACCCAGACTTTCAGAACAGTATTCCACAGGTAAGACTGTTACTACTGTTTACATAATTTAACACCCGGGAATCATTGAGATGGCTGCATAATCTAATGAGCTTAAAATAGCAATATAATAAGTTAATGGTTATGATATTAGTGCGTTGAAAAATTGCTGACAACTTTATATTTAGATTGAATAAATGTTAAACCTTTACCTGTGAATGAACTTGCATATGTAACATGTGAATGCAGTTGCATTATTTGCTATATTGCAGAATCCCAGGAAGTAGGCTATTTACATTGGAGTTGAAGTGATTATCATATATGTAGAATTATAGAATTGTCAGGTAACACGCGATGAAAGTAAGTGTCTTACCTCATCAGCATGGCCTACAGAATACTTCCTACATTCTAAATAAAATAATTGGTTTTAAATTTTGATGTAATCCGTGTGTAAATGTTTTACTTCTGCACGCATAGCTGATTTTCCCACCATCCCTTGTCCCAGGGATTCACACTCATCTCCTGGGAGGTTGATAATTGTAATGCTATTATAGTTGCATCATCAATAGAGTTGAAGTCATTGTTTACAATTTAAAAGCCTAAAGAAATTCACATTTATTATTTGATAGTTTTAGATATATTGTATATGCTACCTTAAGCTGTATATCATGTTTGGCAGTAAAACACTTTTGTTGGTTACTGTTGATAAATAGCAGTAGTACTGTACTTTATGTTCTTGACTGCCAAACTTTATTAGTTTGTTAAGAAATGCCTGATACCTGGCAGCTGTTAAATTTACACATATAAATTTTTCACAACTTACACTTAACTTACATACATACAGAAGTAATATTTTTTAAATGATGATGTTCTTCTTCAAGTTATATATTATATACTCTTAAATAAAATAACATTTACAGCTTTTGCATTTATTACACTTTTGTGCTTAGATAATTATATATCTATTTATATAAAAGGAAATATAATATTAAAGAATTTTGGTATTGACTAAAATAAGACATAGTATGTCAATAAATAACATGGAAAATATAATTACCATTCACACTAAAATTGTACCTCATTACCACATCACTATAGATAACTGTTTTAGCAGTAGATTAGAACAAGCACAAGCCTCTTTGTCCCCATTGTACATTAAATTTCTTGCGGTGATTGTAAAAAAATCATACATAGGATATAAAAGTACATATTTAAAGACTAAATGAACATTGAAATATTGCTACATTCTAACAGTCCCATTTAAGGCAGGTGAATTTCAAGATGTGGAGATCGTATGTAGAATTTTTGCTGCTTACATCAGTTCAGCATAAAGTCCCTCAGACTGTACTCCCTGTAGTGCATGTGAGAAACATACAGTACATCATAATTTACATGTCAAAAATACTGAAGAGACTTGTTCCAAAACTGCACTCTGAAATTACTTCATGTGAGAGCAAGAGGCTTGGCATATAGTACAAAATACACCCATTGAAAAAGCAATGGTGCAGCAAGTAAAATATGGGATAACTCAGTTAGTGTAAAGGGTCCAAAACTTCTCAACACTTCATATGTAAGGGAAATTATCAACTTAACCCTAGCTGTCTTTGAGTGAAAACTTTCAAGTTCCTCAAGTCAGTTCCTGATCAGCTAAGCTGTGGTGACTATGGTGGTTTGCTTGCTGCTAGAACTAACAGCCTGGCTGATCAGGCAGTCATCCATGAGGCCTCTGGGCAGTGACCCCCAGAATCAATAACAGGTAAACATTATGTAAGAGATCTCTTAGATATCCAGAATCAGTTCAGCAGTTTTCCAACATGTTAAGAATCATAACCATAATAGTAATTGGAAGGCTTTGTCCTTTATAAATACACCAAACTTACATACAAATTCAAAATTCTCAAAGTTGGCTATGATTGCATCATGACCAAATTTCACCATCTTAGAAACCACGATGAGAGTAGAATAGTCAAGAAAGTGACCACTGTAAATACTACTTTGGTACATTCGCTAGTGTGTCATTCTTGGTTTTACACTTACTTGTGAGCCCTTTAATTTAAAATATTCATCTCATGGTTCATTCGATAAGAAATCCAGATACTGTTAATGTTTAAAAGAAAAGGAAAAATTGGAACAGAAAACATCTTTGTATAATGAATTGCATGCTATTTTCTACATAATTTTTCTTTATCTTTTCAGTTTTTTACTATAGTGAAAATGCTTAAACACTCAGACATTTTTAACCTAAGTCTGTTAGATGCAGATAAGACAAAAAGATATATAGAAAATCCAGTCGAATACTACGTAAAATGTTGGGCTTTACTGGAGGTACAAGCAAGAAAGATAAATCTTTATCTCTACAGATGTTCATTGCTTTACAATAGTTCGACATGATATTTTGACTTGATGATGGTGTAATAGCGACGTACATTCAATACTGTACAGTGCTGTATGTTTATTGATAGGATAAACTTGTATTCATTTACTTACTTTTCAATGCAGGCATTTGGTTAGCTACAGTAATTATTTGTTTATTTACTTATTCAGTGACAGTAGTCATTTATTTACTTATTTATTTACTATATATCATATTCATATTTGACTTACAATATTTTCAACTTAAGATGGGTTCATTAGAATGCAACCCCATTGTAAATTGAGGAGCACCTGTGTCTGGAAAATTCCAGTGAGACTGATTTCAAATCAGTAGACTAAAACAATGTTTTAAAAACAAAACCCATACTGGTACTCATAATATAGAGCCTGATAATGTCCTCAAAATCTGTCCCATTCAGCGGGTGCACCCACTTGGGATTTCAAGCTGAAAGCACCAGTAGCTTGGCTGATCAAATCATGTCAGGAGGCCTGACTGGGTTGAAGTGAGTCAGTGTGAGGTAATTTTTTATGTTATTGAGCTGATCTCTTAAAAAATTTCCCATCCAAAGTGGTGGTCATTGTTGCCTGCTACAGCATTTTTGGGTATAATAAGTGGTTTTGTGGTTAGTAACATGCATTTCTTAAGATTTCATGATTTTCTGTTCTTAGTTATTCTCTCACCTGTATTACTGGTGGTATTATGTATTTGGGGGTGACATGCTAAATCATTGATGAAAGTCTTACCAGTAGGTATAAACCAGAAGTGACTGAAAGCTGTTGATGCACAAATACACATATACAGTACATAACATAGATTGTCGTGCAATTTAAAATTACTTTTCGTCAGTTTGTATCTTATAACCTTTTGTGGTTATAATATCATCAACAAAAATTTGTGACACTTTTTGTGAGAGCTTTTTCAACTGTGTGTATGTGTATGTTATTAAACTGCTTATTTGTATAATTTTGTAAATGCAGTTATAATATTTTCATAAATATTATTAGGAGAAACACAAGACTCTCGACCTTCATGACCCTGGTCTTTGTGAACTACTTTTATAATTTAATAATAATAATATTAATAAAAATTATTTACTACAAGTACATGTAGTGAAGGGATTCAGGGAAACCGGTTATTTTCATGTAGTCGGACTTGAGTCCTGGAAATGGGAAGTACAATGCCTACACTTTAAAGGAGGGGTTTGGGATATTGGCAGTTTGGAGGGATATGTTGTGTATCTTTATATGTGTATGCTTCTAGACTGTTGTATTCTGAGCACCTCTGCAAAAACAGTGATAATGTGCGAGTGTGGTGAAAGTGTTGAATGATGATGAAAGTATTTTCTTTTTGGGGATTTTCTTTCTTTTTTGGGTCACCCTGCCTTGGTGGGAGACGGCCGACTTGTTGAAAAAAAAAAAAAATTAATCCGTTCCAGACACCCAAAAATATTCACACAAAAATACATTTTTTAAAGATTAATTATAGTTTTACATACACAAAACAATGAGAACTAAATAAATAAATAAGCACTTAAATCACTATTACATACCTTTATTGAAGACTCTTCTTGGCTTATGGCTTATGGAGAGAGGGAGGACTGATAATTGTTTGGAAGGGAAATCCCTCTCCATAAGGACTTCTGGTATCAAAGCCCTCTCTGGGGTTACTTCCCTCCCTGCATGCCTGCTACACTCCCTGCATGCCTGCTACACTCCCTGCATGCCTGCTACACTCCCTGCCTCCCTTCCACACTCCCTGTTTCCCTGCTAAAGTCCCTGCCTCCCTTCCACACTCCTTGTTTCCCTGCTACACTCCCTGCCTCCCTTCCACACTACTTGTTTCCCTGCTACACTCCCTGCCTCCATGCTACACTCCCTGCATGCCTGCTACACTCCCTGTCTGCCTGCTACACTCCCTGTCTGCCTGCTACACTCCCTCCCTCCATGCTACACTCCCTGCCTGCCTGCTACACTCCCTCCATACTACACTCCCTGCCTCCATGCTACACTCCCTGCATGCCTTCTACACTCCCTGCCTGCCTGCTACACTCCCTGTCTGCCTGCTACACTCCCTGCCCATGATACAAGCCACATCAGCTTTCTTGATTTGTTCTTTCTTTGCCAGGATAGAAGTGATTGTTGATTTGTTTTTGCCATACATCCCATGGTGACTTATTTCACCATCGCACTTAATAAAAAAACACCAAAAGCAATGGATTTAAGGAAATGTTTGGATGAATGTGTGGGTATATGCTCACTCGTTGACAGACAAAGGGAGACTGACTCACCTACACGCGGTGTTCTGGGCTAATGCATCTAATACGGCCAATATATGAGGCAACGGCCAAAATATGGAGCAAAATTTCTCCCAAAAAACAGGCCTAAATACGAATTGGCCAATAAACGCAGTGGCTGAAAAACGAAGTTCCACTGTATTAGTATAAAAATATGAAATTAAGATATCATGTGGGAGTTCGAACACGTGGATAGGGTAAAGTAATACTCACGTAGGCTGGAAGTACGTATAATTACGGATAATGTGGGTAGCACCCAAACAGCCGTACCTATCTCCTTGCTCACTCTCGTATGACTGACTGCCGCCCACAGTACCCATATGTGAGGGGGTCTTTGAATACTGCTGTGGTCAGCACAATATGAATACAGACAGT